ATAGGTGCCTGTGTTCTCTCTCCCGTGTGAAATGGTATAATAGGGTGGGCAATATTGAAGTTAGGCGTCGGATGATAGGTAAGGAAGAGGGTGAAATCGATCGAAGAGGCTGTGAAGCTACATCGACTGAGATGGTTAGGACATGTGTTACGTATGCCTAACCATCACCTTCCTCGACAGGCAATTTTAGCTGACACAGGATGAATCAGATTGTAAAAGAGCCAGTGATGGTCAAACCACAACATGCCATCAGTCAGTGAAATCCATAACAGTTAGTTTAAGCCAGTGACGTAAGAAGGTGTAGATTTCCTGAGTGGCTGGTTGATATCCTCAGGACGGTAAACACCAATGTCTGGTCACAATTGGTGATATGGCTCAAAATCGTCATCAATGCCTGACACAGATGCATCCACTCATTGTGATTTATACTACCCAATGAAACTATATTGTTCTTCAATATTACTATTCTTTTTGTCTCATATCTCTGTTTACTGTCTCTGTTTTGCATTCCTTTTTACTTTCTTCTCTTGCTTTGGGTGCTAGAAGGAGGGAGTGTGGCGACTCGAACTGCTGCACATCGGTGCAAAGTTCTATGTTGAAACCAGTCAGTCAGCTGATGGCCAGTGGTCCTTCTTGTTCTTCTTATTGTTGGTTAGCTATTTCGGTATAAATATACTTAGTTCAAGTAGACTAACACACAGGTTACGATGGATCGCTTCCGATTGTCTGATGATCTCAACAAGCCAATGCGTGGCCAACAGCTATCAGGAAGCAAATATTTCAAATGACAGAAGACGTTGCATTTCCATTCAATTAAGCAGAATTATGAATATAAAAGTAACTTCCGAAGATACTTCTGGTATTCTGGTGTGCCGTGAGAAATATGAACCTCCATCTTATGTGGAAACATTCAGTCAATCTCTTATTTACTCCCTCAACAGAATTCATCTGTCGCGTTGTCGCTCCTGTATAGAGAACAAAATTTCAGTTTCCCAACTTATCTCTCGTTTCTCAATCTCACAATACTTTAGACGGTGACAAAGACAAATAACTTCCTGATTGACATTCTCTTCCTCAAAACGACTCTCATTCATATGATGTTGATAAACAGATAGAATAAAAGTCCTACTAGACACATAATACTGGTGTCTATATTCATCGTCATTCATGATGATCATTCGCTGTGATATCACACCATCAGCTTTAGTCGTTTAACTCAATACAACCCAACATCACACGTACACAATGAACTTCAATCTAGTAATAATAATTTTCGCAAATCAATCTCTCAGGCGTTTTCATCTCAACCAATCCATGTGGTTTAAAGTAATCAATCATCTCTCTGTCAGAATACCATTCTCTAACTAGCACACACTCACACACATTTATGACTTTGGAATGTGAATAACTCATTCATTCATTCATTCATCAGAAGGATGTTCTTTGCTCCTTGATCAAGGATTTACATGGTGAAGTCAAAAAATTCATCGTGGTCTTTATCAAAAAGTGTTTCTAATCGAAAACATTTGAAACAATAATTGTGTTGTTATTGTTGTAGTTAATAGAGAATACAAAGTGTAAAGCTACAATGTGTAAGGTGGTAAACGACAGCCTCATCATAATCTCCATTGAATATTTTCAATTGTTTATCAACTGAGTACTTCTATACTTGGATAAGAATTCTGACAATTTCAGTAGGTTTGTATGCATGGTGTGTGTGCATTGCATAATTTTGAGTGTTTGTGAAAGTCAATGATAACTCGTAGGAGAATCGTATCCATATATCTAGAATTCTGAAAGACGACACTGTCTAGACGCCCACAAAAGCATCCTCGAATATGGATGTGGAAAGGAAGAATTAGATGAACCAATATTACAATTCTTCAGCTCCTTGTTCCTATACGAATCATTCTGGATCAATAGAAATCTCCTTCAAATTGATATGTAAGGTAAGGGGCCCAGTCGTTCAAAGGGTTTCTGACTACACCTGTCTGCAGCAGAAACTGTTGTAATATGCAGGGTGAAACCGTGAAATGCGTATACAGGAGAGATTTATCGAATCACTTCTGGCACTGCAGCCTTAAAATTTCCATAACTCACACAATAACCTCTTATTCATCCGGTTTGAGTCTTCGTCTTTTTACTTCCCTTCAAAAGTGCTTACAGTAAAAATACACTTTTTAAAAGTTCTGAATCTCTTCCTCTTTCTTTCTTTTCATAATCTGCTGTCATACTTTCAACAGGAATGACTGATGATTCTTGTTCTTGTGTGTGTGTGAGAAAGTGAATGAGTGTTACCGACTAGTTGACTTGTTTCTACCAGAACGTTAGTCGTCTGGTATATTATTAATATGTCACGGGAGGAGGACATTAACAACTCGAAACACGGGTTTGACGAGATTAGTAGAAGAATAGCAAGATTCACGTATTCAAATTAATGTAGAGTAGACGGTTTAGAATGTATTTAATTCCTTGCTCTCAATCATTTCGGTGGCGTGTCTCAAATGAGGTCTGAATAGCGTAGATGCGTTCACACTTTGCAATCTCTCAGATCCTTTGAATCCACATTTCTATTAACTTAATTTTCTCCATATTTCTGTGCTATATGGAGTGTGGTGAATTGAACCGCTGAACATCTGTAGGCAGTGCTAACTGCTTCAGCAATTCTGAATGACGCGAAGATAAGTAGACCTCATTTAACACGTATATGATTTTGATGCCGAATGCCAAGTGATTCACAATAGCAAGCTCACCGATATCTTTCAAAGGAAGATCATATTGAGACAGCGCTTTTCACACTAATCATGGACTAGACTGTGTTGCAGACCTTGTGAAGCGTGGGGATGGATACACATCAGATCAACAAATTGACCCTAGAATATCTGACTGAATCACTCGAATGATTAATGTTTAATGTTGCACCAACTCGACGGTGAAAAATCGAAATTCAATAAGCTGGAAGAGCAGGTGGTGGAAACAACACTTCACGTGAACATTTAGAAGACACGGGAGAAATCTAATGCACACCGTCCCTTTCACGTATATGGACACACAACACCATATCAACTACAGATGGCACGAATGAGCATGTTAACGTCATCATCGGAGAAGCAAGACACATTCACAACACTCAGAAATCACTTTGCAAATCTATTACAGTCGGTATGAGGAAGAAGTTGTGAAATTTCAACATTGACAGCGAGTCAGTGGTTTCATGTAGTACATTTCCGAAAGGCTACAGACATTCATCGACAGCTACTGCCTCTGATACTGGAGATTGTATGGCTGCCTAGAGAGTGAGTATAAGCAGCATGGAACTGTGGCGACTTACCAGTTAACTACTAATTACGAGACAAATATTGATGAGGAATTGTAGGTAGACCGGATATCTGTGCTGAGAAGACCGTTGAATTAGATCGTACACCTGTCATTCGAGTGGTAGTGAAGTGGAAGTGATGATTCTGGCATCAAAGTCTGACATGAAACAGATGGCGTGAGGAGGAGGAGGAGGGGGTGTAGGTGAAATCTCAACCACAACAGCACACAGTCATTTGAGCAATGATCAATAAAAACAATTTTATATTGCAATAGACTTTTATTATTCGTGTTTACATTTTGATTTGTCTGTGTTTAATGTTTAAGAAGAATGGAATTTTTGATTTTGCGGAATACCAAAAGTGTTAATGGAAGTGTAGGCAACAATTCGTTATGAAGAACTGGATGACGAAGATCGTTGATGAAAAGATGTCCACAGACCGAGAGTGTCTGATTGATTTCTATATCGAAAAGGTACACGTACCATTCCAACATCTATCATTCACTGTTCCATATATGATGACAAATAAGGACAAGTCACCGACGGCAAACAGATTAATTATACAAGACCAAATGATAAACGCCATGATGAATTCAGCGAGAACAGACGTCACCCACAAAATAATCACGTCGCGATTATTGACACACGTGAACATGAACTATAGTGTAAGGAAAGATAAAACATTTCAACAGAGAGCAAGCAATACAGGGGATCAACTCAAATGTACATGAACTCATATTCTACAGTGATGAATTTATTTCACTGATCACATCAGATCGATAAGATTTTATTTATGTGATGTACTATAGACACCTGAACCAATTGAGCATTATTGACAGATTCAATGTTGACTTCCAGACTATACTCGAGCAGATTGTTTTAAGCTTAGTTTTGCAGAAGAGATGGACAGTAGCTTGAGGAGCATTATTTCCCGAATGATTTCAGTTTTCCACATGTATATGGTGATATGTATCACTTTTAGTTTGACACAGTGTCTTAGTTTGGTTAGATTCCATTAAATTTTGTCCTGTAACAAATAAGAGAACTTTCCACCAAAACACATCCAGAATGAAGGATTGGTTAGAAACCAAGACTAACGTCTGTTTGTTGTCTCTATTGTATATGCTATTCATGTGGTAGAGAGAGAAATCTAGGTGACAGTTTGGAGAAAATGCTCATTTGAGAATGACACGACAAATGTGTCATTATTCATTTTATAATTAAGGAGTCTCGTGTGTATACTGAGGCTGTTGGCTATCTGAAAATAATCAATGAGGTTGGATAGCAGAGGGCCATGGAATCATCGATAAATAGCGTTCACTGTAATCCAACGTCCATGCACAAACTAATTTCATATACGGGAACCATAAGGAGCTCATTATCGTAATAATGAGGGTTCACTTAAATTCGAATCGTGATTACTACACTCCAGTGAAGAAACGGGAATTTAGTATTCGTCTAATGACTTAAAGATCCGTCAAGTGCAGCAGAGTACAACATCATCTACTCTGGAAATACACTCTCGAATATCGTGGATGTGTTCACGTGCCTAATGATGCAATATAAACTCATCTGTACTAAGATTCACATTGGAATTCTGCGACTATCAAATACCTGATGTGCTTCGTGTAAATTACTCGCCAAAATAAACGTGCATGATACACCGATAAAATGACAAACTTACGAAGAGTATGAATGACACATAGAAAATTGCTGTCAGAATGAAGATTACCTGAGTTGAAAATGAAATGAGAAAGGAGTAAATCGTGAGGGAAGAGGTACACTCACATGCTTTGTTAATTATATGCAAATTACAACATTGACATATCTACTGATCTGAGATCTGTGGACACTGACTATTATCGAAACATGCTGACAGTTAAATCACACCTGTCAGTGATACAAGCTGCATGGAGTGAGGCTGAAATATGTGAATTTACGTCATTCATTCAATATAAACAACTGTTGCATCACTTCACAGTTCTTATCTGACAAAAGAGATGTCATTAATTAATTGTACATTTGGTTTACAATCGCGCCTCTGTTAAACGATGTATATTCCATGGAATGTGAGAATTACACCAGCAACTGGTTGACAAAGTACTAATCCCCACACATCTGCACGACAGAGGAAATTCGCTCTAGTGAGGGTTAACAGATATTACATACAATCGATTTTCACTCAGCTGATTATTACATTACTAATCAAATTATAGAATTTGTCGAGAGAGCAAGAACAACAAATACACCAGGATAAAATGACGCCATTCTGTACCACGTTCTGTGTCTCTCTCGGCTGGCTACAAACTGAACAATACGAAAACATAAAGTACACAAAATATTTGAAAATGCATTTTCGACGATGACAAGGAGTAACACATGGGAATGTAACAATGAAATAGGTCCCCTGACATAAGAATAAAAGCTGTGCACTGTGGTGGTGGTGGAGTGTAACTCCATTATGGGTAAAATTCATTTTGATACAGTCTCACAGTATTATACAGTAATATTTACTGACGACCACGTTTCGAACACAATTTATTGCCCCTCATAATCATATCAAGCCACTATTCACACAACTTTCTGAATTCGTTTATATAATTCCATTATTTCTCATCGCTTGATTTGATTGGTTGTAGTATTTTCAATATCTCTGGTGTCGGTGATGAGTCATTTATCATTGCATGTGCTAGGTGTAGACTCGATGAAGAAGGATTCAGTAATCCACCTCTTTCTCCCTCCATCTACCTATATTACTTCTAAGAATTTTAACCCTCTCCCACCAACCTATTGTGTGGTTGTGTGTTACTGCATGCAGTGCAATCGCTGAGCTGTTTTCTAAACTAATTTTCTTCTCGGGGTCAACCATTATTAACTTAGCTAAATTATTATGTTCCGACAATCTAACTACCCCCAATCTACTACTAGTTTGACCTATGTAGTTGACTCAACTCACAGTCATTGCAATGTGTTTTATGAATTATATCATTTTATCTAATTAGGTCAACCTACAGAGCTTGTCCCTGAGCAACCGGACTCTGAATAATTTGCATTTATAGAAACAACTAAACATGAGTAAGGCCATTGGTGTACACAGAGTCGTTTCTAGTTGCTTGTTGTTGATTGCTTCAACAAAAGGCAGTAAGCCAGGTCTCTCTTAACAGTATATTAACTTGCATGCCACTTAAGGACCCTTGTGTTTGTTCTCATCAACTGCTACTCATCATCGCATATGATGTGTGTTCAAATCTTTTGTGTGATTTATATTTTCACATTGTTCAGTTTGTAGCTAGTTGAGAGGAGAAGACGGAATAACAGAGAATGAGGCTACATTGTCCTGGTACATTTGTCCTCTATCCTGCGTTCAACCTTACTATTAGCCAGAATTGTGTAAACTTTCAAATTATGGGGTGTTAAGATTAAAATCGGATGCGCCGGAATATTTCGGCACCAAGTGGAGATGTCGAGTACTTTTTCGCATAACTTGTATAGATCATTCGGACTATTATTATTATTATTACTATTGAAACATGAATATATTGAGATATAATTACCGTTTGGTGGAGGAAAGCATCACACATTTTGAGGACGGTCGCCATAACAGCAAAGACACATGCTAATATACTGAAAAATATGAATCCCTTTTCATTCATCGGTGGTAGTTTCAAAGCCACAATGACTATTGTAATTGTTATCACTACTGTCAATGCCAGCGATATACATCCACATACTATTTCAGCGGGGGGTATAATAGCGGCCAATCCTACAGACCACAGCAAAATCTATAACAAAGAGGAAATCAGAGTGGGAAAATATCGATAAAAGTGGATAAAGAATTATTAAGTGAGAAATGAGGAGATTATAAATATATATGTGTATTTATATTCACTATGACCACTGAGAATGCAATTAATTCTCAGCCTCCCTCAGACAAAGAAACGATACTTTTATCATTCAGAGTCACAAAAGAACAGTTAATTTCAAGATGACGCGATCCTGTTTACCATCGCTTCTCCTAAACAAGTTGACAGGAGTTACCTCTGCAAAATGCAGTCAGCTGCTTGGGTCAACTAATCACAGCCTGACGACTAGAATGAGCTTTCGTCTGCTGTAGAATCCTTTCGCATATGTTAGTATAAAAACATACAATCACTGCAACTTCGGCAATAATAGAAGTAATCAAAGTGGTGTGTAATGTGAATCGTAGAAATGATTACGCTGAGGAGGTAATCATAGGTAAAGACGTTTTCAAAAATCTATGAAAGATAACATTGGTTCATTCTTAAAATTTACCACAAACCTTCACAACTTTTTGCATGGCTATATAAAGCGGACACTTACCGTAATTCCGAGTAGTACATAAACAGCAACTGGCCGCGATCGAATTTCTGACACGAATATGCAAAGAACGACCAGAAGTAGACCAAGTACTCTGAAATGAATTCACAAACACCAGCAGTTCGTCACAGATGCTACAGAATTATTCGGAATTGGCCGCAATATGACTAGTGCATACATGAAAAGTTATAAAAATCAAACGTTCAGAAGTTTAGTTTTCAGTCAAAAGACTATTTTGAGTGTGACGACCATGTGGCATCAGTGTCACTCATGTGTCTACTTTTGAAGTCTACTTTACAAATGTCAACATGCTACATTCGCTGTGTGCTGCATGAATTCATTTGTTCATTCTCATCATAGGAGTGAAAATCTACTTTGATATCACTGAATCATTGCCGTTTCGGGATAGAAACACTAAATATTTTTGAAGGCCGGGGAGAATTATCCAATCTAATTCACACACTGAAGACGTTTTGAGTCTTCAATTCCATAGAAGCTTAGTGAAGTCAACCTCCCTTCTTCCAAACTACGGAAAACATCGAATTTCTCTGTTATTTGGTTCAATATCACTCGTCAGTCGACAGATGAGTGAACAAAATTCACCAGGTGAGGTTTACAGCCGAAATGGGAAGGGAAGGAAGGTTAGAGATTCGTGCATTTGAAAGCTTTCCTCTTCTCATGAGCCCTTGAAATGAGGATAATCTAAGGCAAGATTAGAGATTTAGAAAGCAGGACACCCTACCAAGCTAACAGCTGACTTTACGAACACCTAGACGTACGAGTTATCTAAATATTTCAAATCAGTGTTGTTAGAGATAGGTCAAATTATAGGCTAACTAATTACCATGTTATAATGAAACAGAAGCTAGAGGAAATTCAGTTGGAAAAAGATGCAAGGATGATCACATTTGACATAACCAGGTTGAACAATAATATTCCCATCCATTCAGCTCTGGAGGCAGTTAGAAACGAACTGAACATCGACTCTGAACTGAAAAGTGGCACTGAGCTCTCAGTTGATGACACAGTGTTAGGCGTTATGCTTATGGTGGAGATGTGTGGATGACACATTCAATCACTGTGTTGATATCTGAATATATCACTGAATTCCTCACACATGTAAAGTCATTACAAGACGGAATGGAATTCACTTGTGAGTTAGAAAACGAACAGAAGGAGTTGACCATGCTGGAGTGCAGAATAAAGCGAAAACAAAATGGTGGACTGGATACCACTAGCATTTATAGGAAACTGACACACTCGAATAAATATTTGGACTTTAATTCATCCCATCCAGAATAGGCGGTAAAAATAGGTTTATTGAAATATATCTACGATCAGACAAGGAGCCTTACTAGCAGACAACTCCCTGGTCAAATCTTGCTCACAATTCATTTAGTTTCGTTTATTTTATTTCTGACGACTATTCATGACTAAGAAGATGTGACTGAACAGTGATATTGAAGACAATGAGTGTCGTTTTATACATGAACTTGGATGTTTTAATTTCTAATATATTGCTGAAGAAGTTTAGAGTGATTTTCCGAACGAAACGGTGGGATTATTTAAGTGAAATTCTCTGAGATTTCTAAAAATATAATATTAACTTACGGTGAAATATTAACTACCCAGAAGTTTGGTCAATATTACCGAATAAAATACTGAGAAATAGTTTGCACTTGGTCACTATATGAATTATATTCATACCGAAACTAGTAGGATTCTTAATGTTGTATTGATTGGTGTGATGCCTACTATCACTGGACACTTCGGTGTTCCAGACCTTCTACTAACCGGTTTCTACAAATACCCTATTCTGTAAAATTCTTCCAGTGATTTCTATGTGTATCACTTCCGTCAGTATCAATGAATGTCAGTCAGGAGATTGAATACAACTCAGCCAAATTAGAGAAAAATGGGTCGGTAAGTCTGAATGGAATGATCTAACTAAGAACAGTAACATATTCTCTCAAACAACAACTGGCCCTAAACTCTCTTTGCTTGACAATTCATTCAGTAAGCACTAAGTGATGTAAGTGTCTAGTATTCAGTGAAGTGGGTTAGTGCTCTGTCCTACAGATGAAACATGTGACAAAGTGCGTTAGACTAAATTCCTCAATCGATAAATAATGTTGATTGGAGGACTTACAAAATAACATACACCGCAGTGAAATTAAACTGGAAGAACATCCAAATATCTATTCTGTAAAAGAAGATAATATTTAGGCGTGAAATTTAATCTAATCTCACTTAACGCCAAATAAGACGACAGGTATAAGTGTCAGCAACATCATCATGAGTGTGTCTCCTGCAACCTGATAATAAGAAAAGCGGCTTCCTCAAAACTTCGTATTCATCTTACCCAAATATAATAAGTGGTAGGTGTTTTCTGTAACTTCTCGTTGTTATATATCGAATTCTCATATGATGCATGGAAACGTGCCATTCTCCAATGACCTGAAATTTACGAAGAATACGATAGATGACAATAGCTCCGAGATAATTTCATCACCTCAGAGTACACCAGATGAAAATGGTCAGAGAGATCACACTTTCTGTATGTGACAAGTGATAATGTGAAATGGAAGTGACTTTCAGATTATGGAACGTATTTGTGTTTGCATAGTGCACGAGACAGACTGGTAACTGGCCTAAATCAATCACCATAATGAAAGGTATACGTGAATGAATTCACTTGAGCACAATCTCATTTGCGTTTCATATAGATAATGCCAATTAATTTTGAGGAAACCGCTCAATGGAATTTATTTTTACCGTCAGAACAAAATTGGTTACATTCAGCTCTAAATGCGGAATCATTAGGTAGAAATGAATAAATAGGACGCCTTGATACAAGAACGGAGACGATAAATGTGAATATCAGTTCCATCCACCACACTTCACTGAATTCCGAATTTCATGGACATTCAGTAATCGCACACTGACATTCCATATTGATTAGATCCCTAAATCTTAAAACACTTTCACGAAAGGTAATATCTATTTTGCTTGTCAACTCAAATACCCATCCAGGGTGTGTATATCGAATAAAGCAGGTTGGACATAACCAGAGTCAGAAGAAAATCGTCACCTAACCATTCAGTAATAAATTCAAATGATAGCGACTAAGAAGTGAGATGTAGTTGAAATTCACTTACGTGTTACACCTTCTAGCTGCGGATTTTCGTGCCTTCGAGAATATTCACAAGTAATTTCACATATATATATTTCAACTTCTTCGATTATTTATCGACGCAAATATACATATTGAGGGTTCATAGTCCATTGTGATTCTCAATGTGATTCGTTCTCTTACAAAATGACTTTTGTCAAATATTCGTCGTATTATGTATGTTATTTTCATGTGGTTGCTTGTATGCACTCAGCACTGTGTACTACTAAGTACAATCAGTACAATCTGAGAGTCCATTCAGAAGCGATATACTAATTAGTTCGTGTAAGAAGGCTTTTAACCGAAGGACGATGTATACTTCAAATGAAAGAGGCAATTCGTATTGAAGTGACGGAGTTGACTGGTGGTCCAGCTGGAAGTATTTGAATGTGGTTGTGAAGCTTTTACGATGGCGCCAGATAACATCGTCTGAGTTGAGCTCACTAGGTGTCTTATTTATATGGTTTTATTAAACAGAATGAATAATATGGTGAGAACAACCGTAGTTATTCTTGAATTTCTCAAACGTCCAAATGCCTTCCATCGACTTTTAGTAATTATTTCATTCCAAACAAGTATTATGGGTTAATAGTTTATCTGCCTTATCGAATAATTCCAACAGAAATATGAAGACATCTTCGAATGAAATTCATCTTCCCCACAGGCTTGTCATCAGCTGAGTACATCGTGATGGAATTTGAGAAGAAGTGCTTGAATGTACTCAGAGATTTCTCCTCGGTGATTCCACTGTCAAAAGTTGGAGAATTTCATTCATTTACATCGGCTGGAATAGTTAAAATCATTGTTTTATTCAAGAGAGTAACATAGGGAGAATTAAGACATTAACAGTTCTGGACTAGGAATTCAAGTCCGTAGTTCAACTTTCACCACACCAGCGAACTTCAATACCCAGTCGAAAATCATTACCTAATTTAATCTCCTGTCGTCACTGTATTCAACTGATTAATGTTTGTAACTAGTCCAAGTAATTAATTCGATTGATACTGACTAGCAGTGAAATTCATTCACTACTCACTTCTGTTTATCACAGTACTTCATGGTTGGTCAGCATATATCCACCTGAACGCCTGCAGGTTAGAAATCAGTCTCCAGTCGGCGCACAATTTCTCATTTCACAATCTGGAGATAGATGCATCCAAGGGACACATGGAGTCAGCTCTATCCAAATTCCAACAAACAACCTGTGACTTCTCAGAAAGAAATGAACGAGGATCAGCTTACTGCTGTGTATTGAGAAAGGAATAAATGCGATTGATGATTTAGACAGAGAAATTTTGTTAATTCGAAGCTACCACTATGGAAGAGGCTGATAATTCCATGCTTATCTGTCATTCATCAACTTTCCGTCGGCGTTCAACTTTACACTACTCGCTACTAGTAAGTAGCATATATTTATGTTTCACCTAACATTTTATTGTTTAACTCTTATAAGCGTAGATAATGATTTCTACTGGGATATACATCTCACCTATTGTACGAATAACCTCGTCTAATTAACAGGCTTGCTAGTTTTCTATTTGGTTTCAAGGCCGAGTAAAGAGGAAGGATTGAACTTGGAGCTAATGACCCTACCCCAGAAAAAAGGAAGCTTCTGTAAAAACTTCAGCTTTCCAAAGATTTTCAAAAATACGGAAAATTCAAAAAACAAACGCATTCTTCATTGGTATCGGAAAGGCGAAATGACACGATGAGCAGGTGAAAGCCTTCCAGAAACCAGTCAGTCGATGTGTATTCCCTCGTTGAAAGCAAGAACAAGAATGGCGGTGTGGAATTTCCGGGCAACGAGACTCAACTCAAAATGCAGGAAGGAAGGTTACAATCACCCGATGCTACACACGGTTCTACAAACAACGCGGAACAAGAGAAGAAGGGAGGTGTTCATAGACACCTACAGGCAGTTA